CTTTCCCTTCCCTAAAGAGAACAGCTATTGTGCGCCAGGCCCTGTACTGAGCTGTTGTTCCCTGACAGCAGGGAAAGTGCGGCTCTGCCTTCCGTTTAGAGGCCGCGGGGCGGCCCCCAACTCCGGAGGGCCTTGGCCCACACGGGAACTCAGTGGATGTTTGTGGGGTGCAACTGGGGCAAGAGCACCGACTCGGAGACAGCAGCCCAGGCGGACTAACTGAAGGCGGGGGAAAGGGGCTGAAGAACCCCTGGTGTCACCAAAGCGGGAAAGTGCCAAGGCGGAGGAGAGCGGAGGCTCCGGCTTACGCCACCCACACCCAGCTCGCCCGGACTCAACATGGCCGCTGCGGCGGGGGGCGGGACAGCTCCGAGTCCCGGCAGGAGCGGGGCGGGGCCGCCATCAGCGGAGCCAGTACGCAGGCGCGGCCGCTCGGGGCCCCGGATGGAGGAACTGTGGCTCGGGCCCCGCCTGGGAGGTAGAGACCGGCGGACGCTGGGGATCCGGCGCCAGCTTGGGAGCCTAGGAGTTCTGGGGGGAGGGAAGTTATCAAACGGAGGCCGAGGGAAATGAGGCGGAGGCCGCCGAGAAGCGAGGAGCCCCGCCCCTCCGCCATAGCGGCCTCCCAGGGCCGCCTCTTCCGTTACAGCCTCCCGCCCTCCCCTGCCTTCCGGCCCTAGGCCGGGTCGGGCCTCGCCGGCCCCCTCGGGAGTAACCTCTGAGCCGTGGCCCCTTTGGGGAGAGGAGATGCCCAATCCCCTCTTGGGACTGTGTCCGAAAGGAAAGGGCTAGAACGGGCTTCGGACCCGCCTAGGCTGGCAGAAGGCGGCCCCTGCCTCGCGGCGGCCAGCAAAACCTCTGGTCCTGAGGACCCTGGGTCCGAACACCACCACCCACCCCGCGCCCGCCCCCGAGGATGTTAGTCTTACAGCCCAGGATGTGAGTCCTGGGCTCCGATTCAACAGGCTTTCCTAACTGCTCAGATAGGGCCCTCCCTGCCCTAAGCATAGCCAGCAAGAGCATGCGCTGTCACTGGACAAGTCCTGGGCTGGGAGTTGGGAGACCTGGTTGTAATTCTGGCTCTGAAAGAGCGCATCCCCTTTGGCAGGAGTGACGGCTGGTGGAAAGACTGATGTTTCAGACAAAAAAAAAAAAAAATTATCTTTAAATATAGCCTTGGGAGTGCCGCTTGACCCCAGTGAGCCTCAGTTTCCACATCCATAAAATGGCGATGGTAATTACACAGGGTCTAATGAGACTCTGATGTAAAAACTCTGGAGAGTCTTATTACTCACCTCTCTGGGGCATATTTATCTCACGGGAAAATAGAGTAAAACTAGTTGCTCTGTTAAGTGTCCTGCCAGTTCAGAGGGCCTGTGATTTCGTAAACGGGTTGTTGGGAAGTGAAGCCTGCAATTAGCTGAGAGGGAGAGCTCACTGGCTTTATTTTTGTTTTCACATGGTTTACCTGTAAACTAAGTGTAGGCTACAAGTCGTCTGTGATCGCTGGGTCTAGAGCTTGACTCTGGAGAAAGGAAAGGAAGAATGGGAGCCTGGTGAAGAGGCAGAGGTGGGTTCCGTGCTTTTCTTTCCCCAATTCTTCGGCATGTGGTTGGGAAATGAAGGAAGGGAAAAAGTGAATTCACCCTAGGATGGAGAACCAGCGGCCGTGTAAGGTTGGCTGTGCTTGTTTCTACGATTCCTCTCGATTCGGCGAGTCAGATGTTGGCAGTGTTGGGGGGATTTCAAAAGCTTGCCTTTGAACTGAATTTTGATGAGCAAACCTGTGTGGCGTTTGTGGCCCCTCCCTTCCTCCAGGCCTCCTGGTGATGGAGTAAGCAACAGGCGCCCCCTTGTGCTGAGAGGAAAGAGAACTGTTGCTTATGGCCAGTTTTCTGGAGAAATTGTATTTTCCTGTGGCTTCTGTGACTTTGTCGTTTTGCTGTCAACATGAGATATGGTGGGAGGAGTACTCGGAGCAGGGATTTTATATCCAGAGCCAATGAACTGGTGAAGCCATATCCAGTGCTTACTGCTTCCACTCAACTAGAACACAGGCTTAAAATGCTTGTTTGTAGTGCTAGGCCCTGGGGATATAGTTGGGAGCAAGATAGACAAAGCCCCTGCCCTCATAAACAACCTAAATAAGTAACAGCAATAAAGACGACAAGGCAGAGTGTAATGAGAGCATATCACATAGTCTAGTGAGAGTCAGAGAATTCCAGAAACAAGTGATAACCTAAAGGTTTGATAGATGTTAGCCAGATAGGAGAAGGAAGAAAAGTCTTCCAGGCCTCCCTGTTAATTTCTCAGTTCTAGTATTTTTTCCTTTAGGGTTAGTTCTTCACCCCAAGTTGATGAGCTGCCTCTGATGCTCTTGCCCTTCCTTCTGATTTCCGACTGTGGTTCCGTAGGAGCCATTGCTACTTCTTTTAGCACAAGGAATTGTTAAAAAAAAAAAAAAAAAAAAAGCCTTAAAGTGCATTCCTTCCCTCAGAATGGCTTTGCAGTTGTTTATACATTGCTGCCATTCCAACAAAGAGATGGGAAATAACAGTTTTCCCCATCCCTGGTAGTCGACTCTGTCGTCCCCCTAAGTTTGTTTTAGCAATGTGAGCTGGCTGAAGTCCTGCTGAGTGGTGGTTTTCTTTTCCTTCTCCACTTAATTTAACAGACCAGCTGAACACACATCAGAGAGCTTAACTAGAGTGTGTAGTCATTATGGTCTTCCAGTTCAGTTCTATGCCCCACCTTTGGGACTCTGGTTTGGGACCTAGTTTATTATTCTGGGCAACAGAGAAAGGGCACACACTAAATAACAGCAACCACAATATAGATTTGGCACACTTTTTCACACTTCAGTCCATTTCACCATCGTGACAATTTCATGAGACAAGGCAAAATAGTCCGATCTCATTTTTTTAAATTAATTAATTAATTTATTATAAATTTATTTATTTATCTTTGGTTACATTGGTCTTTGTTGCTGTGCGTGGGCTTTAGTTGCTGTGAGCGGGGGCTTCTCGTTGCGGTGGCTTCTCATGTTGCAGAGCACGGGCTCTAGGCGCATGGGCTTCAGTAGTTGTGGCACGCGGGCGCAGTAGCTGTGGCTCATGGGCTCTAGAGTGCAAGCTCAGTAGTTAGGGTGCGTGGGCCTGGTTGCTCTGCGGCATGTGGGATCTTCCGGGACCAGCGTTCCCGTGTCCTCTGCATTGGCAGGCGGATTCTTAACCACTGTGGCACCAGGAAAGTCCCCCGATCTCATTTTATACACAGAGAACTGAGGCTTAGAAGAACAAAATGAGAACTTATGAATGACAAAGTCAGGACTTGAACCCAGGTCTTTAGTTCCTGGATAGGGGCACTCAACAGGCTTTTAAAGGTTTTCTGTGAGCTTAGCTTTCCAGCTTCATGCCTATCTGTGTGGAACTTCCCCTACGAGAATACAGTGCTTCAGAGTGACACCAAGAGGTTCCATCTGCCTTTAAGATGCTTTTTCCTCATCTGGAAAGTAAGGTGGTTAAGTCTGCCATAGTAGTCCTGAAGCAGGGGTGATGTTTTCATGAAGAATGCTTTCAAGAATTTACTTTCTGCCCATGTGTGACATTTCCTCCTTGGGTTTTGGAGTTTAGAAGCCTGAGGGAGTTCAGCCCTGGCAGCAGCCCCCCCGAATTCCTGGTGGTGAGAGGATGTGGCCCCTGGACACATCCCGGAAAGAGGTCCTGGGGTTTGCAGTCAGCTGCCGTGTCCTGACTCTGGTGCTGCAGGTCAGTCTCTGATCTTTTGTCCTGAACATGCCATTGCCACATGACTGGGCTAGACGTTAAGAATAGGCCTCATCTTCTTTCCCTTTCCCAGATGTGCTCCCCCGCCCCGACCATGTGGTTAGAACTATAGAGACCTAGACCACATAGCTGAAAAGTGGGCAGGACTCTTACATATGACCTATTAATCTCTTATTTTATATTTATTTATTTATTTCTTTATTTTGATCTATTAATCTCTTATTTTACACATGAAGTAGCTGAGGCCCAGAAGGGATAAATGGCTTCCTTAAAGTCACAAGGCAAGTTAGAGAAGGACCAGAATCAGACCCCAGGTTTCCTTACTCTTGGGCTAGTGGTCTTTCCAGCAGACCATGATGTTCTGTAACCAGAGCAGGTGTGTTCTGGTTTAGGGTGTGACAGCTCAAAGCGTTGCCCTGGGTCCCCTGACCAGGAGACTGAGCGTTGCATCAGTCAGTTGAGTGGGAGAAAGGTGGCACTGTCCTGAGACCCTCTGTGTATATTTGTTTAGTCAGCAGTGTCTCCTACTCTTCCCCCAGCTGTGTCCCCTTGCTGTCTCACCCACACACAACCCGCAGAATGCATTTTGCAATTCCCTGTCCCCTCCAAGGCTGCCCTTGATACATATTTTAATCAAATTTCAGGTGTATATGAACTATGTATGGTGCCTAGCACAGTGCCCAGTGCTTAGTAGGTCTTCAGTATCTGTTATTGTTGAATGTATGTCAACACCCTAGGGATGTTCTGTCAGCATATTATATGTGCCTTTCATCACAAGCACATTCTCTCTGAGGCTCATCGGTGGTTCCTTTGTGGAAAACTCCTTTTTTCTCTCCTCCCCCACTATATGAGGCATAACAGCCTCTGCTGGGTCCCAGGTTTAGTTAGAAGTGTCTTCAACTTGGAGACTAGGGCTGTTACCTGAGACTGTCACTCCTGTCCCACTTATTTTCACTGTTTGAAGTGGCCTGATAAAGAAACTGACCGAAAAAGGAAAGAGCCTTAAAAATGAGGTTATACTCCTGTTGCTAGGCTGGAAAACTGACTTGATGATGGCTTTGAACCAGCATCAGCTGAATGATTGACAGAACTAAGGGAGCAATACTGTGACTCGGCATCTGGGATAGGGTACCAGGACAGCTGGGTTCTAATTCAGATGGTGATTTGGAAACAAGTATGTTTCCTCTATACTGTTCGCTCAACCACCAAATTTTATTAAGTTCCTGCCCTGGTCAAAGAACTATGCTAGGTGGGAGTATAAAAAGTCACGATCTCTTTTCCCTTAAGTAGCTGACCAAATCTAACGGGGCAAAAAGCATTTAATAATAATGCTATTTCATTATCCTCCCCTCCCCCACTTCCAGCTTTAAAGCTCGCGCCATCAGGTTATACCCCAGTTACCCTTTGTTGTTGCTGTCATCTCTGTTAGCGACAACTCATTCCTCCTCATTCCTTGAAGGTTTTAGCTCCTGATTCACTGTTACTCTTTCCAGCACTACTGTATATTTCTTGGTGGTTTCAATATTAATAAAGCTGATACATCTAACCACTATCTCCTATCTTTCCAGTTCACTCCCTCCACTACCCCAGTTCTAACGATTCTTCCACTCCCTCAGGACTTATCCATTGATTCTACCACGGTTTCACTGTCCCTCACCTACCTCATGGCTTCAGCTCCACTTCTTACCCAGCTTAGATTCCATGGTCCACCATGCATACACGTACAACTCACTCGCTCCCTTCTCCCTATGTCTTAATCACAAGACAAAAGCCCAGCCATGGTTAAATTCAATTCTGTGTCTACTCCACGCATGCATCTGCCCAGAGAGAAGCACACAACTGTGTTAACTAGTCTCTTTGTATGCAGTATCATTAACCCAAGTGAGTCCTTAGTGCTGCCTGGCCATCTTAGTGTATTTCCCTGGTCCAGTCGCTCACCCATTCTCTCAAATTTTTCTGCACATCAGAATCGGCCAGGAGAGCTAAAAACAATCTAAACGCCCAGGCTGTGCCCCATATTGGTTAAGTCATCAATGTTGTAGCAGGAGGGAAACCCAGGCATCAGTATTTTTGAAACTCCTTGGGCGATTCCAGTGCACAGCCTATTTTGAGAACTAGGGTCATAGATGACTTATTTTACACATTTTCCTCTTTTCTCAAGTCTCTAGCACCTTTTCCCCAGCTTGTTTTCCTGCCTGAGTGAAAATTCAGAAAAGTAGAAGCAATAAGAAGTAACCTTCTGAATACTTCCACCACAGCCATCAGCATACCTACATCTGCACCTCTGTGCCTTCACTGCTGAAGGGTGGATGAACTGTCTGTCTCCTCTCTAAGGCCAGTTCCACCTCCAAAGCAGATTCCATCCCCTTTTGCCTGCTCCAGCAATTCTTCCCTTTCTCGCCTGCATACTCAGTGGTTTCCTTTCCACTGGTTATTCCCATTGGCAGACAAATACTTACCTCCCACCTTTGGAAAAAAAACAAGATTTCTCTTGACCCCACAATGTCCTTCACCCACTACCCCCATTTCTCTGCTTCCCTTTACAGGAAAACTCCTCCAAACAGTTGTCTGTGTCTGCCTCACTTCTCCCCTTCTCTCCTGAGCCCAGTCCAGGCAGTCTTCTCTCTCCTCCACTCCCCTGAAGTAACTCTTGTCAAGGTCACCAGTGACATTCCCATTGCTAAAGCCGGGGGTCAGTTTTCAGTCCCCATCTTACTTGACCTATCAGCAACATTTAAGAGCCGATCACTCCTTTGCTTTACTTGGTTCTATGACACCATGCTCTCCTGGTTTCCTCCCTACCTCACTGACCTCCCTTCTTTACCTTTATTGCTAGATCCTCACTGTCTTTCGAGCCTCTAAATGGTGACATGTCTGAGGCCCAGTGCTCAGGTCTCTTCTTTTCTCTATCTGCTCTTCTTCCCTGGGTGATCTCATTCAGTCTCACACCTTTTAATGTCATCCATACACTTATGACTCCCAAATTTATATCTCTAGCCCTGATTGCTCTCCTGACCCTCAGACCCATGTATCTCACTGTCTCATTGACCTCTGCACTGGAATGTCCATCTCAAACTTAACTTGTGATTCTTCCCCAATGTGTCTGTTCCTCCTCATTTTATTAAATGGTAATTCTTCCACTGGCTCAACCAAATTCCTAGTTCTCCTTCATCCCACAGGCTCTCTTCAATGCCATCATCCCAGACCATCATGCAGAAGCCTTCTCACCTCCTCGCCTCGCCCCCTCCGGCTCTGTGGACCAACTTGTGGAAAGTCTCCTGGGCGGCCTATCCCACTGGGATGCTGAACACTTCCTGTTCATTGCTGAGCATGGCTACCTGTATGAGCACAACTTTGCCTTCTTCCCTGGTTTCCCCCTGGTCCTGTTGGTGGGGACTGAATTGCTGAGACCCCTGTGGGGGTTACTGAGCCTACGGAGTTGCCTGCTAATCTCAGTAGCATCGCTCAATTCCTTGTTCTCCGTGCTGGCCGCACTTGCGCTTCATGACCTGGGCTGTCTGGTTTTGCGCTGTCCCCGCCAGGCTTTTTATGGAGCGCTGCTCTTCTGCCTCAGCCCCGCCAATGTCTTCCTGACAGCTGGCTACTCAGAAGCTTTGTTTGCCCTCCTGACATTCAGCGCCCTGGGGCAGCTGGAAAGGGGCCGAAGCTGGACTAGTGGACTCCTCTTTGCCCTTGCCACTGGTGTGCGCTCCAACGGGCTGGTCAACGTTGGCTTCCTCGTGCATTCTCAGTGCCGGGGCCTTTTCTCTTCTCTCATGGTGCAGAATCCTCTGAGACAGCTCTTGAAGCTGATGGGCTCTGTGTTCCTGTCAGTGCTCACGCTTAGCCTTCCCTTTGCCCTCTTTCAATATTACGCCTATACCCAGTTCTGTCTGCCAGGCTCAGCCTACCCCATTCCTAAGCCCTTGCTGCAGTTAGCTGTGGACAAGGGCTACCGAATCGTAGAGGGAAATGAGCCGCCTTGGTGCTCCTGGGAACTTCCCCTAATATACAGCTACATCCAGGATATCTATTGGAATGTTGGCTTTTTGAGATACTATGAACTCAAGCAGGTGCCCAATTTTCTACTGGCTGCGCCAGTGGCTATACTGGTTGCCTGGGCAACTTGGACATATGTGACCACCCATCCTTGGCTCTGCCTTACACTTGGGATGCAAAGGAGCAAGAACAAAGAGACCCCAGAGAAGCCTGATCCTGGATTCCTCAGTCCTCGGGTGTTTGTGTACCTGGTCCACGCTGCAGTGCTGCTGCTGTTTGGCAGTCTGTGCATGCATGTTCAGGTGAGGTGGACTCCTGGCTGGGAAAAGGTGGGAACAGAGGCCAAACCCCTTAGTCAGGGACAGGGAAGACCTGTAACTTCTCCCATTTGAGTGATCTGTACCCAATTTATTCATTCAACAACTATTTGGGGGTGTTTTTAGTGTGAGTCCCTGGGTCAGATCACTGAGGTTAGAACATAAATAAGTTAAGATTGCTGCCCTAGTAGGTCTTGTGGTCAAAATGGAGAGACAGACATTTAACAGCTTAAATTATAGTATAGTGGGATGGAATTGGAGATATTTTTGAGGTAAAGTATTGTGGAAGCACAGAGGAAAAAGTAGCTAACTGGCTGAAGGAGGTAAGGAGGGCATCATATTTAGGCTGGGTCCTGAAGAGTAAGAAGGAATTCCATTTAAGAAGCAGAGGAAGAACATTCTGGGCAAATGGAAGGGCATGTGCGAAGACAACGAGAGTTGTGAAAGGACCTGATCTGACTGAGTTATAGGAATAGCACAGAGGGTATCTCTGGGACCTTCCCCTAACATACAACTATATCCAGAATGTCTGCTTGAATGTCGACTTTCTGAGGTACTCTGAGCTCTGGCAGGTTCTCCATTTTCAGAGGAGCTCTCTTGTGCAATGTTCGGTTGGCGGGGAGGATAGAGAGGGATGGGAAGGGTTTGATCATACATTCGATTTTTTTTGGTTCCTGGTTGTGGCCCCAGGTCCACCATAAACCCTGAGGAAGTCTTTTTGTCTCCATGCTGGCCACTCCTCAGCAGTTTCTGCCTCTTGGAGGCGCACATTGGCTGTTTGTAACGTTCTCTGAGCTATGTGGCTAAGAGGCACAGGGGAAATAGATGGGAGCACTGGGTGTTTGTAGCTGGATGAGCTGCTGGAATGAATGCCAGCAAAGCTTAGAGTCAAGGATAGATGAGGGGGGCCATTTGGAGACCTGGCTCTGAACTTCCCTAGAGGGACAGTGTTGAACCACACGATCCCCTGCCCCCTTTCTCTCTGCTTTGCCATCCCCATGGGATGAGGGAACCGTTTCAGGGGGCAGTGGATCAGAGTCCTGGCCCTGGGCTAAAAGTGGACCCCACAGACTTTTTTTTTTTTTTTTTTTGGCCATGCCGCGTGGCACGTGGGATCTTAGTTCCCCAACCAGGGATCGAATCCCCACCCCCTGTGTTGGAAGTGCGGAATCTTAACCACTGGACTGCCAGGGAAGTCCCCTGACCACCCGCCCCTGCCCCCCATAGAATTTTTAGTATCAGTTGGCCCATTATTGTGGTAATTAGTGTGTAGCCATGTTTATTTGTAACATTGCAGTCACCTGGCTGGCGTCATGCACAGCTTTATAAGGCAGATCCTAAGCTCTGCTGAATGAGTATCTTTTCCAGTGTAATACATTTCTAGTCTTAGAGCTATAGCTCACCCAGCAGCAGGGAAGTCCCAGGCTCATCCAGTTTGAGGCAGTGACATTCCAGTAAATGTGTGGGTTTTCCCCCTCTTATGATTTCCAGGTTCTCACCAGGTTTTTATGCTCCTCCACTCCTATTGTGTACTGGTTTTCAGCTCACTTGCTTCAGGATCAAGAACCGCTGCTGAGATCCCTAGAGACTGTGCCTTGGAAGCCTCTTTCAGGGGACTCCCCACCAGGACAAAAGGTCCCCAGAAACTCTATCATGGGACTCTTGTACAACTGGAAAACTTGTTCCCTGGTCACACGATGCATTCTAGGCTACTTCCTGACTTACTGGCTCCTGGGACTACTCCTGCATTGCAACTTCCTACCTTGGACGTGACCTGGAGACTTAGGGGACAGGCTTGAAGCAGACTTAACCAGGGTCTGAAAGTACAAATACGTGCTGGGGCTGCCTGTGCTGCCCTGGAACCCTTACTCTGCCCTTTAGAACCTCTCTCTCCTTGAAGGTTGGTTAGGAATGGGAGAAGTGTGAGCCTCTAGAGAGCACCTTCTGGTCCTGGCTATGGCAGATTTTAGGGTAGTAACTATTTTCTCTGTAAATGAAGAAATCTTATTCCAGGTCTAAAGCATACCTGGATCTGTCTTGTCAATCAACCATAGCAGAGATAGTCTTAAACTTACCACCTACCCACACGTAAATTTAAATGTAAATTATTTAAATGTGAATTTCATCAAAGGCTGTAGCTGACAAGCTGGTCATAGTCCACACAGTGATGGTGGAGGCCTGGACAGTGTAGCCTAAGTACAATGGGACCATCTTTTCTAAATGGGACATTGTTTCTGATTATTTTTTTCATGATTTGTTCACTTATTTATATGAAAAACCTTACAAAGATACGCAAATTAAACAACTTTTGATTATATCTGCAATTAATTACCTTTTTATTTTTTTTAATTATTTTATTTTATTTTATTGGCTGCACGGCTTGCGGGAGCTTAGTTCCCTGACCAGGGATTAAGCCCGATCCACAGCAGTGAAAGCACCGAGCTGGACCACCAGTGAATTCCCATAAATTACCTTTTTAAAAAAATAATACAAATTAAGGGCTGAGACCCTGCCACGTACTCTGCGTCCACACTTCATTTGGATATTAAAGGTCAATTGATGCAAAAAAAAATTAATACAAGTTACTTGGGGGAAAAAAGTCATGGTTAGAAGAACATTGCATGAGGAGGCAGGAGGCCTGGATTCTGGTCCTCTCAGTAAAGCCCCACTTACCAGCTGTGTGACCTTGGGAGAGTTTTCAGAGCCTTAGTTACCTCTTCTGAAACTAGGGGACAATTACATTATCCTACTGGAAAAAATATCCAGTTCTCCTCTTTTCAGCACTCTGAGGAGTAATTTCAGTGATGTTTCCTCTGAAGGAGGGAGAGCAGTGACACTTGGCAAATAAGGCTCCCTGTCCTGTGTAAGTAAGCCTGCCCAGGGGCAACTAAATGTTCAGTGTGTGAGCAGTGACTGGTTTTCCTGCCCTGCCCGAGTGCCTGTGCTTTCTTGATTGGTAGGTAAGGGTCAGATGAGCCAACACAGCAGCA